TTATAGGGATGCCCCATAATGAAATGCACATGGAATTAGCACTCACAAAGAAAAGAGCAGTATAGTATGATGGTTAAAGGCACAGACCTGGCGGAGGAGGAGGTGGTAGAAGAAAAAGAAAGAAAAAAGAGACCTGGGCCCCAGCTTCTGTTCAAATTCTAGTTCTACCATATACCGCCTGTATGAATTGGACTAATTGCTTAACTTTACTGTGCATAACTTTACTGGACTAATTGCTTAACTTTAGAAGTGTTTCTTCACTTCTAAAACGACAAGAATAAGAGTATCTCTTTCACATGGTTCTTGTGAGGAATACATGGTCTAATTATATGTAAAGCAATTAGAACATTATCTAGCACTCAGTAAACACTCAATAAATGTTACCCAACATTGGTATTAATGCTAGTGTGTGTATAAGTAATCTTCCACAGAGACAACAGTCTATGGAAAACAGACATTACAAATAAATACTAGGGAAACAAGACAGAGATAATTAAGGCATACTATAAAAACCTCACCTACAAACAGGAAAGAAATTACTGTATAAAAACTTACAACCAAATTTCGGAAGAGTTTTGTTGCTTAGAAACAGTCAAGCCATAATATTAATGCTCTTGGCAAATTACATACCATTGTTTGCCATGACATAATCCTGTAAGGCATGATATGGATCAGTGAATCTTCTAATATGGCACACATACAGAGTGGGATTTTAACTAGCACTATCTGGAGTGATTAGGCATATTTGAGACTAACAATTATTCTACCTCTTCAAATAATAGCCAACAAAGCTACTACCTGTACCCTAAAATCTAAGAAAGAAACGTACAACCTAATCATATATACTGTCTTCCTTGTTGCTTTCTCTTTTGCTTTGATCCAATCTAATTAAAAGTGCCTTTCATGAAGTGAATTTTCACACTTTGTACTTTGGCCACATGATTGAGTTGCAGAACTGTGTATCAGACTAAAGTGTTCATTTCAGGTATAAAGGTAAACCTCTTTCCCCTACTCAGCTACACAACTTCCATCAGTATTCTGTCACTGACCTGTCTGGAGAGCTACCCTATTGTTCTATAGACTAATGCAAGCTCCTTTAACTGCTCACTCATCTTCCCCCTACCCCACCTTTTTTTTTTTTAAGACAGAATCTGGCTCTGTCACCCAGGCTCACCATAACCTCTGCCTCCCAGGCTCAAGGGATTCTCCTGCCTCAGCATCCTAAGTAGCTAGAATTACAGGTGTGCATCACCACACCCAGCTAATTTTCGTATTTTTTAGTATAGACAGGTTTCACCATGTTGGCCAGGCTGGTTCGAATTCCTGGCCTCAAGCAATCTGCCCACTTTGGCCTCCCAAAATTCTGGGATTATGGGTGTGAACCAATGCCCCTGGCCTCTTTCCCTAAAGTTCAGATCAATTTATATAAAAAGCAAACTTCTGGCCAATAATCCACAACTGGGTAATTCACATATGGCTTATCAAGAATTGGCTGTATTTTAGAATGCAATTTTAAAATTAAATTTAGACTTCACTAAACAAAGGCATCTACTTATTATTTTTTCTAATCTAGAGAGTTAAAAATGGATAGAGTACAAACATTATAGGATGGTTCTATCTTTGAAGACAGTATCAAAACTTTTGTGTTTATTTTCTAAACTGAGTAATTGTTAATACATTTCCATAATAATATAACATTTCCTATTTTCTTACACACTAATTCACTTAATCCACACAATCCTTTGTGCTAGAGATTAGCATCTCTATTTTATAAATGAGGAGGTTACATAAACACCAGTGGATGCATGCAATTTTGTTAGGCTCTTCAAGAAGTTCTTATTCTAGAGAAAAGGTTATTCATGAGAAAAGTGGTTAACTAAAATGAAATATTCCAAAGTGAATTTTCAATCTCTTCAATATTGCTAAGTAAGCCCTCTATAAACTAAAAGTTCTCCCACTCTACTAATATCTTCTCTCTGTAGCTAAATGTTTCTGCAGTACTTCTTGTTCTAAACATCGTAGGCCTAATCTGTCTTGGCCCTACTCAGCTACCTAATAAATTCATACAGCACACACCGAATACAATAATAGCCAGGGACGTGGCCTTTCATGGCTTTTGCTAAACCTTTGCCTGGCCTTGCAAAAAATATTTTTGAACTTTAGAATTTATTACCTAATTACAACAAGGAACAGTATAACACATTAATTAACTTGTCCAAAACCAAATTTGAATTGTGTTTACCTGTCATCTAAATGTCACAGTAGATAATAGTTCTAGGTATCACTGACAAATGGTGAAAACGTGCTGTACACATCTCTAAGTATACTTAAGACTTAAGAAAAACATTCAAGTTAGGATTGAATGTAACCCCCACTCCCCGCCCCAATGTTTAGCTGTAGAAGTAAGATGAGCCCTTTAATTTGAATCAAAGTAGTTATCAACTAAGAAGCAAAAAGACAGAAAGAATATCTAATTCTTTGTTGGCAGAAAATTATATAATTTGTACAGAAACAATTGTCAGTATGTATGCTGCTGACTGTGAGGTAAATGAGATGAAAAGGAAAATTCCAGAATTTTATAAATTTAAAATAAAATTTCAAAAAGCAATAGAAGTTACAATACATACCTATAGGAATGCAATGAAGAACAAAAAATTCTACAGTTAGAACTGACTATATGTATTTTTAAGTGTAAAGCTCAGAAGGCGGTTTTCCTGTTAAGTGGTGATTAAGTTCTTAAGGATTATCTAGTTTTTCTTCCATCCTTTACTGAATTTTAAGTTCTGAAACATTTCTCTGCCTTAGTATGTGCACTATTCAAAATATAAAACTTAATAATGTAATTTAAGGGCATCAAAGCAACCACTATGATATAAATATTTATTATGTAAGAATGCAAATATATGTAGATTCTTACAATAACAGAAATGGAAACATACCTGAATATCTAAAACCACATCTGAAAGGTGCCTTCTAAATTAAATCTCAATTATCAAAATCAATTATTAACAAATTCCCACTAAATTTGTTCATTCAATTCCAGTTAATTTTGGCTAACCTAGGCTGGATGCAGTGGCTCACACCTGTAATCCCAGCATGTTGGGAGGCTGAGGCAAGGGAAACTACTTGAGGTCAGGAGTTTGAGACTGGCCTGGCCAACATGGTGAAACCCCACCTCTACAAAAAATAGAAAAGTTAGGTGGACACGATGGTGTGTGCCTGTAGTCCCAGCTACTCAGGAGGCTGAAGCACAAGAATCACTAGAACCCAGGAGACAGAGGTTGCAGTGAGCCAAGATTGTGCCACTACACTCCAGCCTGGGTAGCAGAGTGAGACTCTGGCTCAAAACAGAAAAATAAAAATAAAAATAAAGGTCAGGCCTCATTTTGGCCAACCTAAACTTTATTAAATCATTCTGCAAATATTTATTAACCACCTAGTGGTTCTAGGTAATATAGCTACAATGGGGAGGAAAAAAAAATATCCCCACCATTTGTTTTATATACCCTAATATTAAACAATATCTAAACGTTCAAAAGCTTAACTGTGTTCAGATTTTTTGATAAAAATATTTCCCAAAATATTTGGAATCAACAATTTATCATTCAGTAATATTCCAAAGAGAAGTTCCAATAAGGAAAAGGGTTATCTGGCACAGAAATATGCCAGCAAAAATGAAATAGATATCTATTTCAGTAAACTTAAACTGCCAAAATATAGACTTTGGGCCGGACACAGTATCTCATGCCTATAATTCCAGCACTCTGGGAGACCGAAGCAGGCGAATCACTTGAGGTGAGGAGTTCAAGACCAGCCTAGTCAACATGATAAAACACTGTCTCTACTAAAAATACAAAAATTAGCCCAGTGTGGTGGCAGATGCCTGTAATCCCAGCTACTCAGGAGGCTGAGGCAGGAGAATCACTGGAACCTGGGAGATGGAGATTGCAGTGAGCTGAGATCGTGCCACTGCACACTAGCCTGGGTGACAGAGCAAGACTTTCATCTCAAAAAAAAAAAAAAAAAAAAAACAGAATTTAATATTCCTATATAATGCTCAAACTATTTTTCTTTTAATCTATTCCTGATTGCCTTATTATATGAAAAAAAGAATTGATTTTTTAATCACTTGGCATTTTACGTGCTTTAATAGAATACATTTTGTTTTACTAAACCACAATGTGTTTAGGCAGCACTAAAGTAGTAAAATATGCATCTTAAAAGTTAAGAGATTTCTTGGCAACAATGTTAATTACCCCAAATAATCAGCAGTCTAAATATATGACAGTAACTGGTAGAATTGTAGAACATATAGATGTCTTGTGACCTTTTACATCTCCCTCCCCCAAATGTATCAATAACTTTACCCTAATTATAATTGGAGTAGCTATAAATATATAAATACATAGATACTATGCATTATTATAAATGCAATATAAGACTTGACCAAGAACATTTCTATTTATTTAAGCACATTGAAATTAATAGGTAAGCTAAACTACAAACCTTCATGTGACAGGGAGGGAGAGGAGAGTATGAATTGGGAACAAATGCTAATGTGTATGGGATTTCTTTTTTTGGGTGCTGAAGATGTTCTAAAATTAGAATGTGGTGATGGTTGCACAACTCTGTGAATATACTAAAAACAACTGAACTATATGCTTAAAATGGGTGAATTTTACGGTATGTGAAATATATCTGAATAAAGCTGAGGAACAAAATTCCTCCATATAAACAAGTTCATCAAGTTCCCATCTCTAAAAGCACCCATGGATATATAATTACTGCTTCCCTTATTGTCCAGTTTCCTATATAATCCATCCCTTTACTCACTAAGGGAGCTACTAATTTTAAAGATAATAATTAAAAATAGTATAATATTCCATCTTTGGGATTCAGTTTTGCTTAAGTCAATAGGTGTCTTAAACAATTACGACCTCACATAACTTTAACATAAACCAATCACTCCAAAGAAAACACCTCTATACAGGTTCTTATACCTGGTAATCCAAAATGCTGAATCCCAAACCTTTACGATCTTTTACTAGTTCAACGATCTTGACTTCAGGAGACCACAGTGCTAATTCTCCGTCATCATCTTCTTCAGTATTGATATCCACATTGTGGTCAACCTGAAACACCAAAGAAGATAAATGCTTCAAAACACTATGCTTCAATTCTGAAAAGAATGCACATATCAAGAATCTCACAGCTTCTTCTCAAACTGATAATTCTCTTTGGCATGCGTAGTTTTATTTTTAGTCTTTATAGAAGGGGCATGCTCTGGGGCACACACACTCCAGGATAAGATCTTCATAAAAACTCAAGCACTTAAAAATTCAGATTGTTCATACAGTTTTTTATTAATGTAAAGAATCTATTTCATTCAAAATATTAACACTGACCTCTTATACTTCAATGAGTTCTGTCATCCCATTAGAAGCATAAAAGGAAAAATATGCAATTTAAGTAAATGAAAACATCATACAAAGTAGAAGCTTATAAGATTTGTAAGTAGCAATACCTGGATTCAAAATTACAGAGAGAGACAGAGAAAGAGATGTCAACCCAGAGAGAGGCTGGAGCAAGACAGGGAAACCACTTCTGCTGGCTCCAAAACTTTACTAGAAAATAAGGTGAGAAAAAAAAAAAATACAAGTCTTTGGACATCATATAGGTCTAAAGATAAAGAAAAATCACTGAGTTGAAATAATGAAAATCTGATCTTAGAAGAAATAGGACAGCACAACTGCTCAGCATACAGGTCCTTTGTCACTTTTCTTGATTTTACTCCTGAAAGGTCCTCTATTCTAGACTTCCCTGTCTTTTTAGGAAGAAGAGTCACTGCTATGTCGAATTCCAGAAAGTTAAATTAGAGGGTCAATGAGTCCGCTATGCAGAAGAATAGCTGCTTCAAAAAACCTGTTTTTATACGAATTATAGCATTGGACTATTGTTTTCATCTGATTGGCATTCCCCAAAATACTCTAAATTTCTATCTAAAGCTCAAAAATTATCTTTTATAGCCCAAACAACGAACAAAATTCCTGGTTCCTAAGCTAGAAGGGAAACTCTGCGAGGGATACCATAGAGGTGCCATCATTATCAGCTCAACCCATATAAATGCCTGGCTCATAGTAGGCACACAATAAATATCTGTTTAATATATTAATAATTACCTATCTTGGAGTGTGTTTCTCTTGCAACTCTTTCTCAATAAAGGTACCAAGTAATTGATTTTTAAAAGTAGACTTCTTAAAACTTTGGGTGACCAAAGTAAATAAAAATGCACCATCTCTACAAACATAATTTTGAAACACCTGCATAAGAGAATCAATTTAATGTAATCAAAAAAGGGAAAGGAAAACTCCTCTATAATTAGGAAAATTGCTAGTTAGAAAAATTATTTTATTTATCTATTTATGTATATATTTACTCTTTCCAACATTTATTTTAGGTTCAGGGGGTATGTGTGCATGTTTGTTGCATGGGTAAACTATGTATCACAGGAGTCTAATGCACAGATTATTTTGTCGCCCAGGTAATGACCATGGTACCTGATAAGTAGTTTTCTCATCCTTATCCTCCTTCTACCCTCTCTACCTCAAGCAGGCCCCAGCATATATTGTTCACTTCTTTGCATCCACGTGTACTCAATGTTTAGCTCCCACTTACAAGTGAGAACAGGTGGTATTTGGTTTTCTGTTTCTGCGTTAATTTACTTAGGACAATGACCTCTGGCTCCATTCATGTTGCAGCAAAAACATGATTTCATTCTTTTTTATGGCTGCATAGTATTCCATGGTGTGTATGTACCACATTTTCTTTATCTAGTCCACTGTTGATGGGTATTAGGTTGGTTCCATGCCTTTGCTATTGGGAATAGTACTGTGATTAATATACACATACATCTTTATGGTAAAACAATTCCTCTGGGTATATATACAGTAATGGGACTGCTGGGTTGAATGGTAGTTCTGTTTTAAGTTCTTTGAGAAATCTCCAAAATGCTACCACAGTGACTGAACTAATTTACATTCCCACCAGCAGTGCTGAGTGTTTCCTTTTCTCCACAACTCCCCCAGCATCTGTTATTTTTTTACTTTTTAATAATGGCCATTCTGACTGGTATGAGATGGTATCTCATTATAGTTTTGATTTGCATTTCTCTAATGATCAGTGATATTAAGCATTTTTTCATATGGTAGTTGGCTATGTGTATGTCTTCTTTTGAGAAGTGTCTGTACACGTCCTTTGCTCATTTTTTAATGGGACTGTTTGTTTTTGCTTGCTGTTTTAAGTTCCTTATTAAAGATTCTGGATATTAGACCTTTGTCAGATGCATAGTTTGCAAATATTTTCTCTCATTCTGTAGGTTGCCTGTTTACTCTATCAATAGTTTCTTTTGCTATGCAAAAGCTCTTTAGTTTAATTAAGTCCCACTTGCCAATTTTCGTTTTTGTTGCAATTGCTTTTGGAATCTTCATCATGAAATCTCTAACAAGGCCAATATCCACAATGGTAGTTCCTAGGTTTTCTTCTAGGGTTTTTATAGTTTTAGGTTTTACATTTAAGTCTTGAATCCATCTTGAGTTGATTTTTGTATATGGTGAAAGGAAGGGGTCCAGTTTCAATCTTCTGCATGTGGGTCATCAGTTTTCTCAGCAACATTTTCCAAGTAGGAAGTCCATTCCCCATTGCTTATTATTGTTGGCTTTGTCAAAGAGCAGATGATTATAGATGTGCACCTTTATTTCTGGGTTCTCTAACCTGTTCCAATTGGTGTGTCTATTTTTTTTTTTTTTTTTTTTTAACCAGTACCATGCTGTTTTGGTTACTATAGGCTTGTAGCATAGTTTGAATTTGAGTGCGTGATGCCACTGGCTTTGTTCTTTCTGCTTAGGACTGCTTTAACTATTTTGAGCTCTTCTTTTGGGTCCAAAAAAATTTTCTACAAATTTCCTTAAAATTTAGAAAAAAATTTACAATAGTTTTTTCTCTAATTCCATGAAAAATATCACAAAAATAGCATTGAATCTAAAAATTGCTTTGGGCAGCATGGCCATTTTAACACTATTGATTCTTCCTATCCATGAGCATAGAATGTTTTCTATTTGCATCATTTCTGGTTTCTATCAGCAGTGTTTTATAATTCTCATTGTAGACATCTTTCACCTCTCTGGTTAGTGGTATTCCTATTACTTTATTCTTTTTGTGGCTACTGTGAATGGGATTGCATTCCTAATTTCGCTCTCAGTTTGCATGTTACTGGTGTAAAGAAATGTTACTGATTTTTTTACAGTGATTTTTGGATTCTGAAACTTTGCTGAAGTTGTCTATCAGATCTAGGAGGCTTTGGGCAACGGACTATGGGGTAAAAAAACATTTTTAAAATTAGGATTGGTCCAGATCTTAAACTGTCACTGCAGGACATGGATGGTCAATAACCAATCCACCGTGGATTGAACCTCAACATGGGAACAATCTGAAGTTGAAAACTTGAAACGAGTGGAAACGTCATGGATCAATAACCTCTACATGTTTCAGTAAATGTGTGGAAGTGATATCCTTAAAAAGAAAACACTTATGTCTTCCAACAAAAAGTAAAGTTCCAATGGCTAATACAACATGACTGATGTTTTTACTGGGGCATTTAATACCCTCACTGATTAATGAGCATTAGAATTTTGGCTGAGCTGCCTAACCAGATAGGGTTTAAGAACATAAGATGGTATTAGGAGAAATGAAAAAAGAGACAGATGGAAAAAGAGCCAAGACTTTAAGAAACCACATACAATTACAAAACCTGTGTTTATAGAAATTTCAAGGCATTCGAGGTGCATAAGATATTATACTGCAACCTGAAATATGTCACTTTGATACAATCAATTCTGCATAACTCCTGTATTTACAGAATGGAAAGCAATCAACTAATGGGCAGGAAGGTTGACATTTAGCATAATTCAAAGCTGTTGTTCACCATTGTGGTAAAGCATGACAGATGGGGGCATAGAGTCAGCAAGTGGGGTTTGTGATTTACACAACTTGAAAGATTAGATGAAAGGCATTTTTATCAGCCACTGACATTTCATTTTGATAAGGATAGCAAAAGTCAAAAGTGTGGCACTTGAGTACCCTCCCTGAAATATTTTTTTGTAAAAGTTAAACTTTTTTTAAAAAAAAGTCAACCAATAATTAAACATTTACCAAGCCCCTCTTATATGCCTAATATAGAATAAAAACACTATGAAACATAAAATAATTTTAAGATGTGGCCTTTGCCAACAAGGAGCTAACAGTCTTCTTGGATAAACAAGATTACTAAATACTGAAGTGTCTATAAGACAGTGTTAGACTCTTATGTACTTTAGGACATAAGAAAACAAAAAAGGATGGACTGGTGGAGACTTGAACAGCCATAGCCCACTGTTACTGAGCACTTCCCACATGCAAGGCATTGTGTTCAGAACTTGTACACATTACTGCATTTCCTGCTTGCACAAACTCATGAGATGGGTAAGTATGATAAGTATCACCATTTTTTCAAAGGAAAAATATGAATAGAAAGTCAAGTTATTAGCCCAAAGATTCATAATTATTAGATAGTAAAGGCAGGATTAGGTTCATGTGTAGTGAAATCCAGAACCTAAGTATAAGGGAAGGCCCCATGTATCTAAACTGGTGTTTAGTGGAATTACAATCTAAAAGAAATTGAAAAGGGGAAAAGGTGGCATAAAAGATGAGGTTACCAATAGCATAAGATGGCAAAGTATGTGGTCAAAACTCTTCCAGCTAGATACAGTGGCTTACACCTGTAATCCCAGCACCTTGGGAGGCTGAGGTGGGAGGATTACTTGAGTCCAGGAGTTTGAGACCACCCTGGGAAATATGGCAAGACCCTGACTGTAAGAAAAAAAAATGTTTTAATTATCTGGGTATGGTGGCAAGTGCCTGTGGTCCCAGCCACTTGGGAGACTGAGGTGGGAGGACTGCTTGAGCCCAGAAGATGGAGGTTACAATGAGCCATGTTCAAAACACTGCACTCCAGCCTGAGGAGACCCTGTTGCAAAAAAATCAAAAACAAAAACAAACAAAAAAACCTCTTTTCATAATTATAATGCTCTTCAAAAAAAAAAGTACCAAGAGCTTATAAAATGTTATTTCATTCTCTTATCTTCCAAAGGGATTACTGGCAATTTCCAGACTCACTTTGAAATTTATCATAGAGTTTCATATTTTTAAGGCTCTGAAAAAGGGAAGTATATTAGATATGCAACCCTTACTGACACCTTAAACTTATATAAGACAAACTGAGTTGAATTAGAAATCAAAAGTAATGAATCCAGGCAATTAGTGAAAAAACAAAGGTTCTCTAAAATAGAAATGCATGTACATCAATGTTGGCAACATATCAAGGAAAGGGAAGGAAAGAGTTTTACGATGTTAAATGAAGAGTAACAATTTGAAAAGCTATGCATTGTTGCCTTAGTCAAGCAAAGAAAAGAGTAGAGTGAAGGTTTCCTCTCCCTTCATATTGTAGTACAGTCTTCTGGGCATCTTTGATGAATGGGCATGCCTATGGGAACCACACTATATTCACTTAGTACCTCTGTCTCAGAAAGAGAGGTTTCAGTGGGTCTTGGTTCATCTACAGAAGCCTCATCATCAAACAACCTCCGACAGCAAACCAAAGTAAAAGGGGGTGGCACTTCTTTAAGAAAGGAGACTGCTTCTCGGCGAGATTTTCCATACAGCTGCATGCCATTGACCTAGGAAGACAAGGAGACAAATCACAGTTTAGGCAGCCCCAAGTGAAAAAATGAAAATCTCTTATTTATATTAATCTACCAAAATGAAAATAGGACATCATTTTATGTTCCCTGTAAACAAAGGGCCTCGCTTTAATCATATTATTTATAATTAAATAATATGCAAATAAAAATGTTAGAAATCCCTAAAATTTTTAAAATCTAAGGCTAAATCTTTGCTCATCTTGATGCATAAAGTATAAAATGTGTGCAGAGTACACCCTCACTGGGAAAGGGATCTACCTAATTTTTTGCAGCACTATGGTTTCTCCTTTCGTTATTCCAATGTTGTATTCTCTCACCTACCTCTACTCAGCTCTCCTGAAATACACTGAATAGCATTTATAGTCCTTTAAGACTGTTTTCCTTTGCATTTTCATTTTATAAGAATATCACTACAGAAATATAAGGCTGTTTAAAAAAAAACATTTAATTTACTACTTAAAGTATAGCTAACAAACACAGAACAGTTGGCTGTCAAAATTTAACATCAGTCCACAATATTCTTTCACATCCCATAAACTCTTAATACCAACCTAGAAAAATAACTTCCACTGAAAAGAAATATACATGCCTTTTCATCAGTTACATTCTTATATGCTCTGCTGATACAGCAATCAGCACATTATTTTAAAAAATAATTTTATGCCAGTGTCTCACATGTTTAAAAGAAAAAAATATTCTTTATTAATGATTAATCCTTGTCACCAAAAAGTTATCTAAATTTCATATTACTTTTGGTGCATAATAATAATACTTGGCACCAAAGATGATTTGGCTAAATAATTCTAATTTTTCATATATATGACTTGAGTTCAAAGAGTCCTTTCAGTTCTAACTATAGGTCTCTAAAAGCTGATCTATCAGCTACTCGCAAAAAGCTGAGGCATGAACAGAATCCAGGTAACAAATATTCTTTTCACATCTGACTCCTACCCTCCTAGGAGGGTTTAGAAGCATTATTTGTTTTAAAGGTATTTTTAGTCTGGCATTAATTTCTAATAGGTGTCGTGCTAATGTTCAGATAACTGGCTAGCCTGACTTTACTGGGAGAAGCCCTTCTACAAATCTTTCACTGCACCAGAGAGGAAGAGGACACTGGGCTGCTGGAAACCTTCAGCAGCAGGGTGAGTCTCAGGTCAACCATCCCTGGGAAACACTCTCAAGCCTGTAACATATCAAGCACTTAGCCATCAAGCCAGACATCTCTCCCTGCCTCTTAATTATTTACAAAGAAACCACCACAAGGTGAAGAGACCCACATGCACTTTAGGAAGCTAGCTCTACTGGAAAATCTTCATGACGAATGAAGAGGTCTAGGGGACAGCAAGCTCAGCAGCTGATGAAAGGTTTTTCCTTGGAATAACTGCACGTCAGCCTTTACATAAGAAGAGACAGGGACGAACCCATCACTGGCCATACCATATCCATGATTTCAACTGGTGTCACAAGTGCACAAAGTTCTAAAATCAGCTAAATGGGTAGTAATTTACACACAAAAAAAAGCAAATAGAATCAAAGCAAGAATTCTACCCATACATGAGTATGAGTTTGTGTTTCACTTCAACAAATTAGAAAGTCACTTTTGGGTTTTTATCTTGGAGTACCTTTAAATATTTATTTATCTCATTACTTATTCATTTGAATTGTCTCCAATTATTATAGCAGTGCCTGGTAGTCCTCCTCACCACTCCGTGCTAAAGGGATTGGTCACATTTCCCATTACCAATTCCTATCTAGGGGGATTTACAGCTGCTGTAAATAGCTGTTCTGGGCTGAGACTTGGCACGGTGTTCTAACCCCAAAGCATATTTGTGTTTCTGGTTTTAAGCTCTAAGGAGTACATTAAACACACACATACACACACAAACACACATACTTTGAGTTCAGGAGTTTATTTGGCTAACTGCACTGAGATTTTTTAATTTTGTATTTTTGGTTATTCAAAACAAGCTAATTTTTATTTTAGAATTTGCAATATTTTTCAAGGCCCTTAGACTTCAGACCCTCCTTAGTGCTATTTTACCCTGACTTTTTGACTGGAAAATGCACACACATACACATTTCAGAGTACAGAACACTGCACAGGTGCTGCCCCACTATTTTATCACATTGAATCCTCATCCCAGCACATAAAGCTTGTTAATATGCCTTCTTCACAGCGATAATATTGCCAATATCCCACAATGAGATAATGCTTTATAATTTACATGGATGGTATTTCATTAGATCCTTACAAAGGCATAGTGAAGTAGGCATTGATGAAGGAACTGATTCTCAAAAAAGTTAAGTGACATGCCAAGAGACACACGGCTAACCTGTGGCAGTTCAGACCAAAAGCAGCTTTTCTTACTCCAAACCTGTGCTTCTTTCTTTATCCCAAGTTCTTTCACTAGGTATCTATATTTAAGAATTCAAAAAATCTTCACATTACCTTATTATAGCACCTTCTATTACAAGGTGGTAGGCCCATGGGAGCCTAGTCTTGGCTAAAGCACAGAATACAGCTGATGGCTGGGATCACCTGTACTTGCTCTATTATGATCCAACCAACATTTCTTTAGCACCTAACACATACTAGTAGTGATTTACACTGAATATCACCAAATTTCACACTTAAAAATGGTTAAAATGGGCAAGGCATGGTGACTTATGCCTGTAATTCCAGTACTGTGGCAGGCCAAGATAGAAGAATTGCTGGAGGCCAGGAGTTCAAGACCAGCCTGGGCAAAATAGCAAAACCCTGTCTCTACAAAAAAACTAAAACATGAGCTGGGCATGGTGGCGCATAGCTATGATCCTAGCTACTCAGGAGGTTGAGGTGGGAAGATTGCTTGAGCCCAGGAATTTGATGCTGCAGTAAGCTGTGACCATGCCACTGCAATCCAGCCTGGGCAATACAGCGAGACTCTTAAAAAAAAAAGGGAAGAGAAGAGATCCAAGATGGCTAACTACTAGCAGCTTGGGATTGTAGCTCCCAGTGAAAGCGCAGAGAACGAGAGGATGCCACACTTTCAGATGAATTTTTGTTGCTCACAGACCAGGAGATTCCCAGCAGAGGAGCCCCACGGGTCGCCAGCGCAACTCTTGTGGCCAGCACGGTGGTTCTCCCTGCAGAGTAAACGGGACTGGGTCCCCTTTTGGTCAACATTTGGAGCTCTGGGAAGGCAGAGTCGCCCATTCAGCTGATTGAAAAAGGGACTCAAGAGGGAAGCCAGACTGGAGATTCCCGGGCAGAAAAGCACCACAAATCTTAATGCTGCTGTTTTAGCCAGCACAGTGGGTTGCTCAGATTCCGGCGCTGGGAATCAACAAGTTGGACATCCACTCAGAGACCTATTTGAAAGTCGGTAATTATAAAGACAACAGGTGGATAAATTTACAATGATGGGAAGAAACCAGTGTAAAAAAGCTGAGAATACCCAAAATCAGAATGACTCTCCCTCTACAGAGGATCACAGTTCCTCATCAACAGGGGAACAAGGCCTGATGGAGAACGAGTGCATTCCATTAACAGAATTAGGCTTCAGAAGGTGGATAATAAGAAACTTCTGTGAGTTAAAAGAACATGTTCTAGTCCAACGTAAAGAAACTAAGAACCTTGAAAAAAGGTTTGACGAAATTTTAATGAGAATAGACAATTTAGAGAGGAATATAAGTGAATTAATGGAACTGAAGAATACTATACGAGAATGCCGTGAAGTATGCACAGGTTTTAACAGTCAAATTGATCAAGCAGAAGAAAGGATATCAGAGGTCGAAGACCACCTTAATGAAATGAAATAAGAAGACAAGATTAGAGAAGAAAGAGTAAAAAGGAAAGAGCAAAGTTTCCAAGAAATATGGGACTATGTGAAAAGACCTAATTTACGTTTGATAGGTGTACCTGAATGTCATGAAGAGAATGAATCCAAGCTGGAAAATATTCTTCAGGATATTATTCAGGAAAACTTTCCTAACCTAGTAGGGCAGGACAATACTCAACTCCAGGTAATACAGAGAACACCACAAAGATATTCCTCAAGTAGAGCAACCCCAAGACACATAATCATTAGATTCACCAGGGATGAAATAAAGGAGAAAATTCTAAGGGCAGCTAGAGAGAAAGGCCAGGTTACCCATAAATGGAAGCTTATTAGACTCACAGCAGATCTCTGAGCAGAAACCCTACAAACTAGAAGAGAGTGGGGATCAATATTCAATATCCTCAAAGAAAAGAATTTTCAACCCAGAATCTCATATCCAGCCAAGCTAAGCTTCATAAAGGAAGGAAAAATAAAATTTTTCATCACCACCAGTCCTGCTTTACAAGAGCTTCTGAAACAAGCACTATACACAGAAAGGAACAACCAGTATCAGTCATCCCAAAAACTTACCAAAAGGAAAAGAGCATCTCCATAATGAAGAATCTATATCAACTAAAGGGTAAAATAGCCAGCTAGCATTAAATGACAATATTAAACTCACAAATATCAATATTAATCCTAAATTTAAATGGATTAAATGCCCCAATCAAAGACACAGACACGCAAATTGAATAAAAAGTCAAAACCCATTGGTACGCTGTATCCAGATCCATCTCATAAGCAAGGACACACAAAGACTCAAAACAAAAAATTGGAGGAAGACTCACCAATCAAATGGAAAGAAAAAAAAAAACAGGAGTTGTAACTTTCGTCTCTGACAAAACAGACTTTAATAGTAACAAAGACTAAAAGAAACAAAGAAGGAATTACATAATGGTAAAAGGATCAATGCAACAACAGGAATCAATGATCATAAATATATATGCACCCAATATAGGAACACCCAGATACATAAGATAAGTTCTTAATGACTTATAAAGAGACTTGAACTCCCGCACAATAATAGTGGGAGACTTTGATACCACATTGTTAATATTCGATGGATCAACGAGATAGAAAATTAACAGGGACATCTATGATTAGAACTCAGACCTAGAACAAGTAAACTCAGTGAATATTTATAGAATTCTTCACCCCAGGTCCACAGAACATACATTTTTCTCAGTATCACATTACACCTCTTTTGAAAGTGACCACATAATTGGAAGTAAATCACTCTTCAGCATTTGCATAGCATTTCACAGACTTAAATGAAATATTGGTTGGCTGTTTGTCATTTTTTTCTCTTATTCCTTCCTGTCTTCACTGTTAAGCACAATTATCGACATAAAAGAGGTTTTTAATGCCTATTTTTATATTGCATTTCAGCCTGGGCAATAGGGCAAGACAGCTTTCTCTCTCCCCCTTTCTCTTTCTTTCTTAAAAAAAAAAAAAAAAAAAGGAAAAAAGATTAATGGTAAATTTCATGTTATATATATTTTGCCATTTAAAAAAAAAAAAAACAGTAGACCGAGAGCAGTGGCTCACACATGTAATCCCAGCAATTTGGGAGACTGAGGTGGGTGGATTGTTAGAATTCAGAAGTTCGAGACCAGGTTGGGCAACATAGCCAGACCCCATCTCAAAAAAAAAAAGCAAAAGTAAAAGAAAAAAAACAGCTGGGCATGGTGGCTCAAGCCTGTAATTCCAGCACTTTGGGAGGCCCAGCTGGGCGGATAATGAGGTCAGGAGTTCGAGACCATCCTGGCCAACATAGTGAAACCCCATCTCTTAAAAACAAAAAAAAAAAAGGAAAAAAATGAACTGAATTGGTTATACTCATACCTCTGCTTATCCCAAACAAATGTATCTTATTTCCTAACACCTAATAACTATATACCACAGCAATGGTCTCCAATCTACAAATTATCATGGATGATATCCACAAAGATATGCCCGTGCCCAGCCAGTAAGAGAAAGACCAAAAAGAAAGCATAATTCTTCTAATAAAACAGGGCATTAATCTGCAATAAGAAGTTCAATACCATTCCCTTGAATACCTCTAAAAATAAGCAACTTACTACATCTTAAAACAGGACTCCAATACCCTACCCTCCCATGCTTATGACAGAATTTGATAACTAGTCATAGCACTTTTCCCTCCGAAATTGAAATTCAACCAGAATCCTTCCCTTTATACTCCTTTAGGTGGCTAGACACTACTAATAAATTCAATTGCACCCAACATGAGACCTATTGCTATCCCTGTCATTTCACTGTGAGCAAACATAAATTTTAGGGGAAAAAAAAAAAAAATCTAAAATCAGGGCCCATGGGATTCTGATCTTGGCTAAAGCTACTAGGTTGATTCTATTGAATCCAACTTAGGGCATCTTGTGTAACCTAACTCTTGGGAGAACCCTCTCCTATGCAGTCGTTTTGTGTGACCTTTCCCCTAGACCTTTCCGCTCAAGAAAGTCCTTTCAAAGCAGAGGTGCTCTAGAACTGCTTTGATTAGAGAGAGACTGGAGAGCCTGGGTAAGCTCAATAGAGGCTGCCATTTTGAGGGAGACGTCCCAAGGAGAAAATGTGAAAACCAGTATGCCTGAGGTCATTCAGCTATAATCCTTGTTGTTAGAAATAATCAATAGGCCAGGCACGGTGGTTCGCACCTGTAATTCTAGCACTTTGGGAAGCCGAGGCAGGTGGATCACAATGTCAGGAGTTCGAGACCAGAATGGCCAAGATGGTAAAACCCTGTCTCTACCAAAAATACAAAAATTAGCTAGGCATGGTAGTGGGCACCTATACTCTCAACTACTCAGGAGGCTGAGGCAGGAGAATCACTTGAACTAGGGAGGTGGAGGTTGCAATGAGCCAAGATCACGCCACTGAACTCCAGCTTGGGCAACAGAGCAGGACTCTGTCTCAAAAAAAAAAAAAAAGTAATAAATCCTGCAAATAAATGAGGCTACATGTGGCAACAAGGCTCAGGGATTCAAATTTTGCTAAAAAAAAAAAAAAGAAGATAATATACTACATCAAATTTCTTTCCTAGTCAGTCATTCACTTAAATAAAGAACATCTCAAGAGTCCCAAAGATGGGGAAAGCATAGCTACTTCTTTATCATCCAGTAAGCTGTTCATTTTTTTTTTCAATCTAAGAGGCTCACATTACGTTGGCATTGGTGACACTATAACTCAGGAGATTTGTGATGAGAACACATTTTTCTGAAACTTAAAAATTTCTGCCTATGTCTTTCTCTCCTCATAAATTTTACCTCAAGCAGCTCATCTTCTGGCTGTAGGAGACCCAATGTATCAACAGGACCACCAGGAACAATTGAAGAAATATAATGGTGCCCATCAAAGGAGTCCACTTCCACACCAAGCCTCAGAGTGTGAATAGGCAGCAGCTATGGCAAAACACAAAGCAATGATCAAACACAACGACAACGACACATCCTGCTGTTCGTCCTCCACCCAGTGCTATTTTGAAGTGAAAAACTCCACCTCTTGAATCGGATCACCAAAATCCTAAAAGAAGACAATAATGGGAAAACTAGTGTCAGGTAAAATTATGAAGTCATTGGTCATCTTGTTCTCGTTCCTCTTTTCTTTCCAGACTCCCTGGAAACGAAGAGATGGAAGTATACAGTCTTACCTTCAATTCTAAGCTCCAGTCAGTCCACACTTCTGATAGTCCCCAATATGTATGCTGTGTTTCACTTTCCTATGGAACTCCCCATCCCCCAGAACAACCTAACTTTCCTTTATTATCTAATTAACTTCTACTCACACTTAAATACCACAGCAGGAAGCCCTGATGCCTCCATCTGGGGTTCAAGACCGCCCTGCGCACCTCTCCATCACAGCTCACAACGTACTGGGCTTAGAATTTCTTTCTTTCTTTTTTTTTGACACACAGTCTCACTGTGTTGCCTAGGCTGGAGTGCAGGAGTACAGTGGTGCAATCTCAGCTCAATGGAACTTCCACCTCTAGGGTTCAAGCAATTCTCGTGCCTCAGCTTTCCAAGTAGCTGGGACAACAGGCATGCACTACCACGCCCAGCTAATTTTTTTGTATTTTTACTAGAGACAGGGTTTCATCATGTTGAGAATTCCTAGTTTCTTGATTGTCCTTCCTCCACCCCTTAGTTGAATGGAGAGTTTGTACCTCTAATCTCTATAACCTCAGCCCTGGAACAGTACCCCGCACTAACATGGGTTCATTAAATGTTATTTGAATCAATCCATGAAAGATAGTGCCTCATCTAAGGTGCCCCTTTCGATCTAGCCAATTTAAGTGAAAACATTTCCTATTTGGGAAAGGCAATCATTTACCCATTCTAGGTCTATGAGGGTTCGTATGGGCTAAGATATGAGTCAAGAGCTGAGAAACTCTAGCCAATGTCAAGTAAAGAGATGAGTGTCTTAGTTCTACTTATGTTTGTTGGTTGTAATGGTCAAGGGCATTCAACAAACTCCATTCCCCTGACTTTCAAAGACAGACTAATGATTTGTCATTGTGGCCTTATAATCTCAAATACGGTAAATGGTACTCATTATGATTGACAGTTCCTGTATCAATAGTCTGATACCTAAAAATACCAGACCTACCTCTAACTATACTTTATAAGGAGAACACCCTCCACAGGGTGGCAGTGCATCCACCATGTGGCTCTCTTCCTCTTCTCTATGATCCTCTCTCCCTGAGCTTGCCACCTCCCTCCATCTTCTGCTTTCAGTCCCCAGAGTGCCACAGGCCTTGCTTCAGACACCATCTGAGGCTCACTTCTGTCCCGCTATAGACATGCAGATAAATGTGCAGTGGCAAGGAGTCTGGCTAAGACCTCAGTGAAGGCATGAGGGACTTTCAGCTCTGGGATAATTTCCTGAAGATTGAGTACTCCTGATCACTAAGCACTTTCAGGATCTACAACCATCTCTCTAGCTCTCTAAATGGAAGGTGAAGAGTGTTTTTCCTCCTGTTCCCTGTCTGTGCTTTCTGTCTTCCTTACTGCTGCCACTTCATTCTCTTGTCATTGTATCAAACCATGGGTACGGATACGCTAAAGAGACATTAGTGTCATGTAGCAGGACGTCTAGAGGAGGTGAGGAAAAGCTTTCAGAGAAATGTTCCTGAATTAACAGTTTACCACCCATCTCTTTCTTTCTTCCTTGTTTATGAGCCTGATGCGATAGGGCAGAGAGGTGCCAGTGCATCCACCATAGCTCATCCCCAGTGTGGTACTGGGGCTTATACTGGCCTGAGAGCAGACAGTTCAATTCTCAGTGATTTTGCAAGTCAGTGGTTAAGCACAGCTATCATGAAAAATTAAACCATATAAAGTTACAATTAATAAAAATAAATGTAACGAGTACTCAAAATTCATCACTTCCTAATTATTTTTCACTCTTTTACTAATAGCTATGTTCATGAAGTGAATCTACTGTATCTGTACAGAGAAGAACTCTCTCTATCAGAACTCAAAGAATACTGAAGGGTGGACAACTGAATGAGACACAAGAAATGCTTGATTTGGTTAGCTGGTAAATGCAGGTGGGACAGGCAATTAAACAGCCCTACTCCTGCAGAGAGGCCTGCAGCACTGAAGTGCTTCTGTGCATTGGCTCTCAACTCACTGATCAGTGATGTCATTTTGGTAGCTTCATACCTGCCATGGTGTCAGTATTTACACCACAGATATTTGTACATGCTACAAATTGGAGCTGCCTTTTTTGTTGTTGTTGTTTCCTTTTTCGAGAGCTAGAAACTTGCCAGCATACCACGGATTTGTGATATAGTTTGGACAAGATATCCAGCATATATGTACGGGGTACAAACTATGGGCAAGGTATTGGGCTATGAGCTGGAAATACATGATGAAGTCTTTGCCCTCCTAGAACTAACATCCAGCATGGCAGACAGATAATAAATAGGCAAAAAGGTAGGTGGACAAAGCAAATACATAAATAACCAGCCAACCAACAAGCAGCAGGATTATCATAGTTCTGATATGATAAGCAAGGAATACAAGGAATGTATGACTATTGTGTAAAAAACAAACAAGCAGTTACTAACTGTGATAAGTGCTACAAGGAAGTAATCAGGGTCATGGCATCAGAGGACCTGTGGTGGAGGCCATTTTGGAAAGTTGGTCAGAGCAGGCTCCACATTGAAGGGGACACTTAAGGTGAGACTTGAGGGATAACAGTGAGTCAGCCCTACAAAAAAGCCTACTGGGGGATGGCTTGTGGGAGGTGAGCAAAAAGGATAATTGCTAAATTTCTGGTTTGAGCAAATGAGTAAATGGTGGTAACAACTTCTGCATAGAAATAAGTGCCCAAATTAAAACAAAGATCCCACTATACAAACAGATATCTTTGCTACTTACATAATAATATGCCCTCATCCAAGATAAAAGAATTAAGGCAAGAAATGGTTCCAATCCCCTTCCAATCTGCATCTATTCACATGATGACCCCCATTCCTGGCTCCATGGAACTGCTGGAGTCAGGATTCACAGAGGCTCACCCATGTCATCTCGTGCCCTCCCGACATGGGCTGTGCCTTCTAGGCTATTCCCCTAGATATCTGTAAACACCACAGGCTCCCTAGCAAACTTAAATGGTGAGCAAAACACACATGCTCTATCTTCAATCAAGCTGAACAAATAAACCAGAAACGATGTTTACTAAATCTGTCAATCTGAAGGATGCCTACCTAATATTAGTTCTGAATCTAAATCTGAGTACAGCTGGGTTTCTACGATTTCATATTACATTGCTACAGGCTTCTCTGCGGGAGCAGGACTGTTTAATTACCTGTCCCAGCTGCATTTAGCAACTCAACAAATCAAGTGTTGAATCTGTCTCCTTCAGTTGTCCACCTCTTTCAGTATGTGGCGTTCTTAGGCAGCAGAAAGTACTGAAATGACAAGAGTAGGTGAAACAGATGATTGGTGCCTCCACACACCGCTGCATGTCATGCTTTCGGATGCTTATTCAATGTGCTTTGTGAGGGGTTCTATTTAAACTGACAAAGTTAATGAGCAACAGGATTTTCATAATCCTGATATAAGTAAAGGATACAAGGACATGCATCAAAGGGAAGTGTGACCATGATGTGTTTTACTGCCTGTGTAAAAATGATGAAGATCAAATGAGATCAGGAAGGATTGAGGTCTTCTACCTGAAAGTCGCAAGACTTATCATGAAATAAACTGCAGCTCATTCATTTTGCACAGAACTTTACTTTTAGGACACTAAAACAAGATATCAAAATGCTTAAGTGGGAATATAAATGACAGCACTTCAGGGGGAGAAGAAACTTCTGGAAAAGATTGCTTCAAAAATGTGTCAGTAGGATGGGGGAGGATTCTCCAAAAATGTTGAACTCAACATAAAATAGAACAGGAAGAACCCCATGACTGGTTCTTGTAACTCTCATACACAAAGTATTAAATAGCCATTTATGTTTAAAGATTAGGGAGTTACTAAATTTACCATAAATTTAAAAATAAACTTTCAAGAATGAGGCTACAAGTTTAAAGTAATGGTGAACCACAAGCATGATGGCCTCTGAACTTAGCTGTGCTCCCTCAGAGGTTATACAAGACAATCAACTGTCCATTAGAGCTTTATTTATATTTGTTTTTCTCACCCTTCCAAAATTTTATTTATTTTTTATTTTTTTAAATTTGTTTGAGACAGAGTTTTGCTTTTGTTGCCCAGGCCAGAATGCAATGGCACAATCTCGGCTCACTGCAACCTCCGCCTTCCAGGTACAAGCGATTCTTCTGCCTTAGCCTCCCCAGTGGCTGGGATTACAGGTGCACGCCACCATGTCCAGCTAATTTTTGTATTTTTAGTAAAGATGTATTTTCACCATGTTGGTCAGGTGGTCTCGAACTCCTGACCTCAGGTGATCCACATACCTCAACTTCCAAAAGTGCTGGGATTACAGGCATGCGCCACCACACCTGGCACCCTCCAAAATTTTAATTCAGAATGTTCAAAAAATGTGTAACAGGTACTCTGCTGTATAGCAGTATATTGAAAGATCTCTTCAGTCACCTATCCCCAAGGTCAAGCATCAGTTCTATTTAGCATTTTAGATATCATTTATGTTTCCTGTCTGACCCACTAGAAATATCTAAGTTTTTAATACTTGATCTAACACTTTGTATTTGACTTTCTCCCCTTACCTATGCTCACGGTAGTGCCTTCATCTGAAATGTGCTCACGGTAGTGCCTTCACCTGAAATACCCACTGTACTCATTTGTACTCCAGATCTGTTCTTCAGAGTACAGTTCAAATGCCATCCTATCAATAAGCCTCCATCTGTCTTGAGGAAGTAATATCCTTCTTGAACACATATCAGGCATTTTAGCAACATCTGAATAATAATTC